GGACGCGGACGCGAACCACGACCACTAGCGCGGGCAGCACGAACACGCGACGCGGGACGAGACGCAGGCTCACGTCGCTCAGCAAGACCTCCAGTAGGACCAGCGTAAGGAGAGGGAGCAGGTAGAGGGGAGGTAGGCTCCAACAGTGACTGCGACTGGACAGGCTGTGGACACTCTACCGGAGGAGAAAGACCAAGAACCTGCTGCAGAAGCGGAACGAAGTACGGCCGAGGCCGCGCGGCAGCTCCAGACTCAGCAGGGAGAGCACCAGCACCCTCACCGGCAGCACCAGCGCCACCAACACCTCCAGCGGCAGGACCTCCAGCAGCACCAGCAGCAGAACCACCAGCAGGACAGACAGCAGCAGACTTAGCACCAACGCCCTCAGCAGCCCCAGCTCCAGTAGGACCCGCAGGCGTAGCACCTCCGGGACCGGCGGCACCAGTACCCTCGACGGTCGAAGAAGCTCCAGCTCCAGCAGTACGCCTCCAGCGGCGAGCAAACCACTCGCGCAGCTCCTGCGGAGAGAGGGGCTCCCGCCGAGGCGCAGCACCAGGAGAAACCCCAGGCTCAGCGGCTCCAGACGTAGCACCCCTAGGCTCAGCAGCTCCAGACTCAGCACCCCCAGGCTCAGCAGCTCCAGACTCAGCACCCCCAGGCTCAGCAGCTCCAGACTCAGCACCCCCAGGCTCAGCAGCTCCAGCTCCAGTAGGACCTGCAGGCCCAGCAGCTCCGAGACCGGCAGCACCAGCACCCTCAGCAGTCGAAGGAGCTCCAGCTCCAGCAGCACGCCTCCAGCGGCGAGCAAACCACTCGCGCAGCTCCTGTGGAGAGAGCGGCTCCCGCCGAGACGGAGCAACCGGAGAGCCCCCAGGTCCAGCAGTCGCAGGCTCCGCACCTCCAGGCTCAGCACCCCCAGGCTCAGCAGCTCCTGACGTAGCACCTCCCGGCTCAGCACCCCCAGCAGCAGCACCCCCAAGCTGAGCACCCGCAGGCGTAGCACCCCCAGACTCTGCACCCGCAGCAGGACCAGACTCAGCAGCAACCTCGACGGGCTCGACTGTGTCTACCTGGGACACACCTGAAGGGGCAGGAACCTGAGGGGGGAGGGGGTCTACCGGGGGGGGGAACTGGCACCAGGAAGTCCGGTGGGGGGGGGGGGAAGGAGTACGGTAGGGGAAGAGGCGGTAGAAGGGGACTGACTCGTCGAACGTGACGTCCTGGGAGGACAGAACACGACGAGAGGAGGGGTGGTAGAACTGCCACCCTGGAGCGTCAGGGGGGAAGCCAAGGAAGACACAGGGAGCAGCACGGGGGGACAGCTTGTCCGCAGACAAGTCGCGGACAAACGCCCGAGATCCCCAGACACGGAACGCAGACGCATCGCCGACCTTCCCCGTCCACAGTAACACTGGGGACATCGCGGGCCGAGAGACCCTGGGGTGAAGGTTGAGCTGATGCGCCGCGTACCGAACCGCAAACGGCCACAGAAAATGGGGGGCAGCCGCATGCATCATGGACGTACGAGCGACATCCATGACCATGCCAATGCGGCGCTCAGCAATCCCATTTTGCTGTGGAGAGTCCGGAAGCGTAAAGGTCTGGCGGATCCCCTGTGCACGACAGTAGTCTCGCAGAAGGCGAGAGGAGAACTCCCCACCTCGGTCAGAGTGCAGACGCAGAACAGGAAAGTCCGAGCCGAAGCTCCTCCTGAGCTGGAGACGAGCCTCGCGGATCCAGTCGATCAGCACCTCAGTGACACCACCCTTGCTGCGCAAGGGGAAGACTGTGGTGTAATGCGAGTAGTCGTCAACCACCAACAGGAAGTAGCGCTCGTGACCCTGCCCACGGACGGGGGCCGGGCCCCACACGTCCATGTGAAGTGTCTGCAGAGGAGCCTCTGTCGGGGGAATCTGGGAGGAGTGAGGAGCAGCCCTGAGGCGCCCCTCGACATAGGGGACACAGGAAGGTCCTGGTCCCGAAGGAAGGGGAGGGAGAGACTGGGGAAGACCAGAGACAAGGACACGGGAAGCCATGCCCCGAAGACGGGGCAAGGAGGGGTGGCCGAGACGGTGGTGCCACAGGAGAGTCTCGTGAGACAGGAGGCGACACGAACAGGGGGCAGACTCAGGACCAGACCTGGACGCAGCAGCAAACACCTGACCTGACGCAGCTACCTGACCAGACGCAGGGACAGGAGAAGACGCAGTGGTCAGGGTGTAGAGGCTCGACCCTGCCCGACGCGAGAACGTGGCCAGGTGCCGGCCTGTGCGTGCGTCCGTGCAGTGGGTCACCCGCTGACTCGCAGGAGTGAACTGGTGAACCCCCGCATCCTGCAGTTCTGCACCACTCACCAAGTTCGTCGAGAACGAGGGGAGGTACAGGCCAGACAGGGTGCCCGAGGGGGCAGCCGGACACGGGAGGACAGTGGAAAAGTGAGCGAGGACAGGACCCCCAGAGGGGTCAGCCAGGGAGACTGCAACAGACCGACCAAGCGGCGTGAGTGTGGTGCGGTCCCGAAAGAAGGAGCGAGAAGCCCCAGAGTCAAGTGTAAAGGTGAGGGAGGCCGAAGCCAACGTGGTACCTGAGAGCGCAGCCTCACCCGCACCTGAGGAAGCAGACTAACTAGCACCTAGAGCAGCAGCCGCACCTGTACCTGGAGCAGGAGACTCACTAGCACCCAGAGCAGCAGCAGCCTCACCAGTAGCTAGAGCAGCAGGTCCTATACCCGGGTCAGGCGGTACGCCCAGGTGACCGGCACGGTCAGCACTAGTAGGCAATGCATACATGGCAGTGAGAATAGCATCATAGTCAAGAGCAAATATATCTACCCTCTGCCTAAGCAACTCCACCCAGTCGGGGAGCTCAGCCTCGTCGCCAAACAGGGTACGCCAGGCGTCGCTCAGACGGGCGAAGCAGCGGGACGGTGTATGACTAGGTGTCCCACAAGGCTGACCAGTCCGAGCACCAGTGAGAATCACGTAAGAGCAGCGAACAGAACTGAGAGACCCGCTACTCTGAGCGTACCACTCACGAAGCTGCTGAGGCGTGAGAGACACGCGGGGGGGTCGCGGGAGCTGCATCCGGCCGCCACCAGTAGTAGAAGCAGCAGGAGTGGTAGCAGTAGTAGCGCCACCACCCCTACAGCCCCAACCAGCGTACCACTCACGCAGCTGCTGGGGCGTGAGGGACTCACGCAGACGTCGATGGGGCTGCATCTGGCTCCACCAGTAGAGGCAGGAGCAGGAGTAGCAGCAGTAAGGCAGGCAGCCAGGCAAGCCAAAAAGGGAGGCAGGCAGGCAAGCAGGCGACGCGCAGCGTGCTAGCAGGGCAGGGGCTCACCAGTGGTGGGTAGAGTAGGCTCGGCGACTCAGCGGCTCGGCAGCACGGCGGCTCTGCGGCTCGGGCGACTCGGGCGGCTCGGCGGCAGAGCGGCTCGGCAGCAACTGCAGCTCGGCAGCTCGGCGACCCGGCGGTGCGGCTGTAGGGCGGCTCGGCTGCTGGGAGGCTCGGGTGTAGAGCGGCTCGGCTGCAGGGCGGCTCGAGACGAAGGAGGAGGAGAAGGAGGGGAGACCACACACCCGCAAGCGGCCCCCTCAGGTCGCCTCGACAGGCGACGGGAAAAAGGGGGGGGGGGGGGGGGGGGAGAGGCGGCTCGGGCGGCTCAGGCGGCTCGGGCAGCTCGGGCAGTCAGCGGCACAGGCGGCTCGGGCGGCTCGGCTCCTCAGCTGCGCAGACGGCTCGGGCGGCTCAGGCTGCACAGCGGCTAACGGGCGGCGTGGGGGGGGGGCCGGGACGGATGAGGGGCCAGGACGGGCGGCGTCCTGGCGCCGAGGGGCCGAGACTAGCGCGCGCGGGTGGCTAGGGGCCGGGACGGGCGCGCGCGGGTGGCTAGGGGCCTGAACGGGCGGTGCGCGAGCGGCTAGGGGCCGGGACGGGCGGCGCGCGGGCGGCTAAGGGCCGGGACGGGCGGCGCGCGGGCGGCTAGGGGCCTGAACGGGCGGCGCGCGAGCAGCTAGGGGCCGGGACGTGCGGCGCGCGGGCGGCTAGGGGCCTGAACGGGCGGCGCGCGAGCGGCTAGGGGCCGGGACGGGCGGCGCGCGGGCGGCTAAGGGCCGGAACGACGGGCGCGCGAGCGGCTAGGGGCCGGGACGGGCGGCGCGCGGGCGGCTAGGGGCCTGAACGGGCGGCGCGCAAGCGGCTAGGGGCCGGGACGGGCGGCGCGCGGGCGGCTAAGGGCCGGGACGGGCGGCGCGCGGGCGGCTAGGGGCCTGAACGAGCGGCGCGCGAGCGGCTAGGGGCCGGGACGTGCGGCGCGCGGGCGGCTAGGGGCCTGAACGGGCGGCGCGCGAGCGGCTAGGGGCCGGGACGGGCGGCGCGCGGGCGGCTAAGGGCCGGAACGACGGGCGCGCGAGCGGCTAGGGGCCGGGACAGGCGGCGCGCGGGCGGCTAGGGGCCTGAACGGGCGGCGCGCGAGCGGCTAGGGGCCGGGACGTGCAGCGCGCGGGCGGCTAGGGGCCTGAACGGGCGGCGCACGAGCGGCTAGGGGCCGGGACGGCGGCGCGCGGGCGGCTAAGGGCCGGAACGACGGGCGCGCGAGCGGCTAGGGGCTGGGACGGGCGGCGCGCGGGCGGCTAGGGGCCTGAACGGGCGGCGCGTGAGCGGCTAGGGGCCGGGACGAGCGACGCGCGGGCGGCTAGGGGCCTGAACGGGCGGCGCGCGAGCGGCTAGGGGCCGGAACGGGCGCGCGCGGGCAGCTAGGGGGCCGCAGGGCAGGCCGAAAGAGTGAGAGCGAGGGCCCGGAGCGCGCTACGGGCAGAAAAAAAAGTTTAAAAGTGGTGGGCCCTAAGCACAGTTCCCACGGGGGAACCTGCTCGATACCATGTGGAAAATAGAACGAGAATGAATGAACTGTGAGTGAAGTGAGTACAAATAGCAAAACCCTAATTGGGTTGTACCCCCTATGGTATACCCCACTGTAGCCTACACAAGAGCATAAGCTACATATATGTTCTGACATGGGTCACCCGCTGACTCACAGGAGTGAACTGGTCAACCCCCCTATCCTGTAGGTCAGCTCCACTCACCAAGTTCGTAGAGAACGAGGGGAGGTAGAGACCTGACAGGGTGCCAGAGGGGGCTGCCGGGCACGGTAAGACAGTGGAGAAGCTAGCAAGGACAGGACCCCCAGAGGGGTCCGCCAGGGAGACTGCAACCGGCCGACTAAGCGGCGTAAGTGTGGTGCGGTCTCGAAATAAGGAACGGGAAGCACCCGAGTCAAGGGTGAAGGTGTGTAAGGCCTGAGCTGACGTGGTACCTGAGAGAGCAGACTCACCAGCACCTGGGGCAGCACACGCACTAGCACCTAGAGCAGCAGCCTCACCAGCACCTAGAGCAGCAGCCGCAATGCCCGGGTCAGGCGGAACACACAGATAATAGTAGCCCTCAGCACTATCAGACACAGCATACATGGCAGCAAGAATAGCATCATAATCTAGATCAAAGATAGCGACCCCCGACCTAAGCAACTCGCCCCAGCGGGGGGATCTCAGTGGCGTCAGGGAACTGGAGATGCCAAGCGTTCGTCAGGCGGCCGAAGCAGGGCTGGGTGGAGTGCGGGCCCCCGCACTGCTCACCAGCGCGGTCGCCGGTACGGAGGACGTAGGTGCAGGGACCAGTACCCCCACCGTGCTGACGCGCAGCGTACCATTCACGAAGCTGCTGAGAGGACAGGGTCTCACAAGTGCGCTGCTGCTGCTGGCGCTGACCACCACCGGACCCACTCCTCTGCGCAGAGCTACGACCAGCTCCACCGTTGCTGCCGCCGCCTCCGCCACCTTCGCCGTCTCCGCCACCTCCGCCGCCTCCGCCACCTCCGCCGCCTCCGCTCCTTCCGCCACCGCCGCCGCCTCCTCCGCCTCCACTGCTGCCACCGACACCTCCACCCCCGCCACCACTCCCACCACCCCCACCCCCTCCACTGCCTCCACAACCCCCTCCACCGCCCCTGCCAGCCCCTCCAGCGCCCTTGCCCCCCTTGCCCTTGCCGGTGCGGCGTCTCCCGCTAGGGGCAGACGCAGCGCCGATCGACTCGAAACCAACGAGGTTGGCCGCAGCAGCAGAAGCAACAGAGGGCAAGAGGGGGGAAGGGGAACACCCCTCAAAGACGGGGGTGCGAGGGTCACCACGAGAGGCTCCTACAGCGACTATGCTCTTCTCCGCTGCTAGGAGGCGCTCCTCGAGGAGGTCAACGGTGAGCGTGGTGGGGCAGACTGAGAGGAAGAGGTCCCTGACTTAGCGAAGGGAGTCAGGGAGCCGGGTGACTATGTACTAGAGGGTGATGTACATGGGGGGGGGGGGGGGGGGTTCTTGGCACAGAACGCAGCAGGAAGCGCAGCGCGGTAGCGAGTGTCACTAGTGCGAAGGTGCGTAATGAGGTCAGCGACTGTGGGAAAGGCAACAAGGTCAGGGAAGAGGTACAGTAGCATGAGGCGGCTCAGTGCAGCACTGGCAGGGGAGGAGTAGCGTGCAACTACAGCGTCGTACAATGTCTGAGCACTCTTGTACTGGCTAAAGTGCGCGCGCTCAGTGGTCGGTAAGTGGCGACGCACAGCAAGACGTGCAGCAGCATCGCGTGTGGCCCACTGTGAGCGAACAGTGATGTCAGCAGTAGCAGGCGGGGCAGGGGAGGCACCAGAGGTGAGATCGAACAAGGAGAGTCTGTCGTTGGGGTCGCTAGGGGCGGCGACGGGGCCGCGTAGGGAGGGAAGCGGCGACGGGGCCGCTAGGGGCGGCTTCGGGGCCGTGTAGTGGCGGCAACGGGGCCGCGTAGGTAGGGGAGCAGCGACGGGGCCGCTAGGGGCGGCGACGGTGCCGCTAGGGGCGGCGACGGGGCCGCTAGGGGCGGCGACGGGGCCGCGTAGGGGCGGCGACGGGGTTGCGTAGGGTGAGAGGCGGCGACGGGGACGCTAGGGGCGGCGACGGGGCCGCTAGGGGCGGCGATGGGGCCGCGTAGGGGCGGCTACGGGGCCGCGGAGGGTGAGAGGCGGCGACGGGGCCGCTAGGGGTGGCGAAAGGGCCGCGTAGGGGCGGCGACGGGGCCGCGTATGGGCGGCGACGGGGCCGCATAGGGAAAGAGGCGGCTACGGGGCCGCTAGGGGCGGTAACAGGGCCACTAGGGGCGGCGACGGGGCCGCTAGGGGCGGCGACAGGGCTGCTAGGGGCGGTGACGGGGCCGCTAGGGGCGGCGATGGGGCCGCGTAGGGGCGGCGACGGGGCCGCGTAGGGTGAGAGGCGGCGACGGGGGCCGCTAGGGGCGGCGAAAGGGCCGCGTAGGGGCGGTGACGGGGCCGCGTAGGGGCGGCGACGGGGCCGCGTAGGGGCAGCGACGAGGTCGCTAGGGGCCACTAAGGGCCTGGGAGGGCGGCGAAAAAGACGCGCCTCGGGCAGGAGCAACTGACGCTCCGGTCAGAAAGAAAATTTTAGTGGTGGGCCCAAGGAAGTGTTCCCACGAGGGAACCAGCTCTATACCATGTGAAGAAACAAGAATGAATGAACTAGCACAAGGTTGGGTACAAGTAGGAAACCCTAAGAAACTGTACCCCATAGTGTCTACCCCACTATAGCCTAGACAAGCTATATAATATGAGTTTGACATCATGTACCTGATGACCTGCACTCGACCTGACCTTGCATACCCTCTTAGCATCGTGGCACGCTATGTTGCTCCTAGGAGACACCGACCAGAGCACATGGCTGCAGCGAAGAGGTTGTTGCACTACTTGTGCAGTACGTCGGGCATGGGGCTCGTGCTTGGAAGACGGGCTCGAGCTGTCCTCACTGGTCACGCAGACGCTTCTTGGGTTGACGGCTTGGCTACGTAGTGATCGTCATAGGGTTACACCTTCAGCCTTGGTTCTGGCTCTGTTTTGTGGCGGTCAACCCGCTCGTCTTCTGTTCTCAGCTCCAGTTGTGAGGCTGAGATCTACGCAGGGGCCATGGCTGCACAGGAGTTACGCTGGCTCACCTACCTGCTGATTGATTTGGGAGAGGCGCCTCGTTCTCCTCCAGTTCTGTACGTCGACAACAAGGCCATGATTGCCTTGTGTGAGGAGCAAAGACTGGAGCACAGAATGAAGCACATCGCTCTTCGCTACTTCCTTGCTCGAGAGTTGCAGCAGCGTGGTCAGCTTCGTCTTGCTTACGTGGCCACTCGGGCCAACAATGCTGATATCTTTACCAAGGCACTTCAGCCTTGTGATCATCAGCGTTTTTGTACTCTGTTAGGTCTAGTGCCTACTTGGCCTCACTTGCTCATCTCTTGACTTTGCTTGTACTGTGATCTATATATTCCTTCGCCTGCATGCTTACACTTGTTAGGTTGAGATCGATGTAATGCTTGTTCATCTTGATATATAACTCTGCATGTGAATTGGCCTTGTGGCCTTTGCTTGTGCTCAGACTGCGTGGTGACATCGTGATCCACCCTGAGCTTGACCTTGTCTTGTTCTCTTGCTTGTCCCCCACTTTGCCTATGGGGATGTGTCAGAACTATACTCTAGGCTGTAGTGGGGCACTCCTTTTGGGCTACAGCTCTGTTAGGTTTTGCCTATACAAACCTTGTACTGTTCTCATTATAGCCATTTTTTCTTCGCTCTAAATTTAACATCGGCGTCGACCACTGTTGGCAGTTAGCTGCACTTCGCGCGCACCCAACAGCGAAGTTGGCTTCGCCCAAGCGATGGCGGGGCCACATTTCCGTCTACAATCTCCCCTCAACCTGGTAGCTATGGTGCTCCTTCGTCCTTGACTTCGCCTCACCACCCCGGGTTTCCCCTACTAACCTTCCTACTCCCCCCCATCCTGTCCTAATTCCATTGCCACAGCACCTTGCTCTATCCCAATTGGTCCTCCAACCCTAAAGGCATCCCTCCTTATCTCCCCCCCAATCTGCAGCCCTATCTCCCTTCCGTTTCCCTTGCTCCTGCTGCCATTTCATGTGTCTCTTGTACAACAAGGCACCACGTGCCTTGTCCCCTTCCCCTTCTGCTCCAATTACGCTGTCAGTGCCTCCATGTCCATCTTCCTGTTCCCCCCCCACCCGTTGTGGCCCCACTCTCCATCCTCTTTGCCATGAGCCCCCCCCCCCCCCCCCCCCCCTCTGGTCACAATCAGGGACATCGAGCGCATGCATGCCAGGAGGGCAGTAAAAATTCATGGAAAAAATCAATGTAATTTGTGTTGCAAAGTGCATATGATAATCACAGGAAAACTGGTTGTGGGATCTTCTACATGCACTGTAGAATCACTTGGAGTATCACTTGGGTTAAAATTTCCGCCTCGCTACTGTCATGAGACCCTCGACCTGTAACTGAAAAAAACGGATGGAAACGGCAAACTGGGATTGTGTCGGTGGAGGCCCTTCCTCGCACACGCAGTCCGCATGGAGGAGGTTATCAGTCGGTTTGTTCGTTTCCGTTCCGTCAGATCTCTGTCACCTCACGACCGCGACAGGGGGACACGCTCAACATGTGGTGAGCAAATCGTGCTTCAGATACGATGCGTTTGTTCGTCCACCAATAAGAGAAAAGCTGCAGCCTTTTTCCTCCGTCAACAACACACTATTCTGCGACAAAAGGCACCCATGGCGAACGTCGTTGTCCAATAAACACGGTCATAAAAGGGAAGGAATTACTGTAGAGGAATCAGGAAGGAACCTCGGTCGCAATGGCAGGAAGCTTGCCGCGTTCTGCCCGTCCAGGGTCTAAACTTCCGCCCTTCCCGCCATTCCGCCGCCCCGGATCCCCTCCACTGAGCAGAGCCCTTCCTCCCTCGCATTCGTCCCAAACCCCATTTCCCCCTTCCCGTTGAGCGATCCCCCCCGCTTTCCGACTCCCCCCAGTTCCCTCCCCGACTGCTGCTTGTTTCCATATTCTCCCCATTGATCAGGTATATTCTTTAATCCTCCACCGAATTTCTCCCACTCCTTTCCTGCGCATTGTTTTCCCACCGAACTCACAGTCGCTTTTCCGTTTCCGGAAGTGTTCGGTACCCATCCGTTGTCCAGTGCCCAATTTATGGGGTCCAGTTTCCCTTTTTCGTGTCCAGGTTGCATTCTCCATGATTTCATTGGTCTGCTCTGCTGCTGATGGTGCAAGTGTATGGTTGTGCATTGTGCTAGCACTAGGGAGAAAGCAGGGAGCAGGTAGAAGGATAAAATCGCATTCCTACGCACGGACACCATCCGAAGTACTGCCACGCGGTCCGCAATGTCGAAAATCACATTAAATGTTCGGCCACGCGGTCCGTGATCTGGACACGTTCATCTCAACCGGCCAGTGGATGTGCGAGCAGTTTGCACGTCAATGTCTTGCTGTGCGATCTTTCCATTATCCAATGCTCTCGAGACAGCTCAGCTGTCAAGAGTGTAATGTGTTCACTTTCGATGATTTCGCTGCCCCGGTGTGGCCATCAATATTGGTGCAGTGATTGTAATTTCAATACAGAATGTATTCACGCAAACACTATCGAACATTACGGGATCATTGTTTTTACAAGTGCCCGAAAGTTAGAGCTGGCCGTTTCATTTTGGCGCCCCAAGGACTGTCGCTGCTGGACTACAGCCTATCATGGGACACCCTGATTGGTCGCGAACAAAATTGACGCGTGCGACAGTCAACCCCTGACAGACCCTGCCAACTGTCCAGAGTGGGGCCCTGCCCCACACGGGCACCATCCTCACACCGAAACTATTCAGGTGGGCTAACTTCGGATGGCGTCCGGGCCCAGGAATCCGCCCTAAAGCGTTGTCGATTGTCCACTCCACTGCACAGCAGCACTGCTTTATCCAGTCGTGCGCTTTGACGGACAATCTGGGTTTTGTTGCTGCGTTGCTGCAATACAGTTCCGCCACGAGCGCGATGTTCTCTGGTTGGTGACACAGAAGGAAAAAAAGGAAAGTGCAGAAGGGCAGACGGAGCAACTAGAACAAGAAACCGCATCCTTTTCCACGTGTACTGTTGCGCGTGCACACTCGCATCTTACTGCCTGGCGTTCGAGCGACTGCAGTACTATTGTTCCTCTATCGAGTAACCTACGTGGAGTAATGTCAGCCTGTTAACTGTCATCCAAGAAAGTGATTTCTGTCGTTCCTCGTCGAGCGAAAGGTAGAAAGGTCATGGCTGAACTTCCAGAATCGTTTTCGACCGATCTAAAGATGGTCGATCAACCAGGCTCCGTGGGTGATGCGGTATACAGGCGTGCGGGTACGTCAGCAGAAGTGGAGGACACGGGACGGACGATGAGCGTAGACGGAAAAGTTGACGGAAACGATTGGTCGAATCCGTTAGGGTTTGAGAGTGCGCTGTCTAGAGAGGATACATCTATGGCTATGGCTGACGAAACAGGAAGGATTCCCTCAAGCGGAGCCGAATCTCTACAGAATCAAGTCCAGCAACGGCAGCAACAACAGGTGGAGCAGCAGCGCGATCAGCTGGCGTCAGGTGCTGCGATGATGGCTGACGTGGCAGCTGGTGACGATGGCGACGGGAGCGACGGCGAGGGCTCAGGAGGCGAGGATGCGCACGCGGGAGTGATGTTTCCGCGAGCCAACACCAACGCCAAGGGACAATGGACGCCGGTACGCCTTATTGGGTATTTCGTGAGGATCGTTTTGTTTTGGCAAGCAAACACCAACCCCCAGGGTCCATGGATTCCGGTACGCTTTCTTGGGTTTTCGGTTCCAGATGATCTAGAACTAACCAGACATTAATGGGGAGCGATGCTTCAGCAAGCGAACACCGACGTCAATGGATTCACTGGAATCCAGTAAGCATTTTTTAGGTTTCGGCTTGATATGTTCTTTGCGGGTGGGAATGATGTTGTTGCGTTTCGCGAGCGAAAACGAACGTCAACAGATTCACTGGACCGCTGTACGGATTCTTAGGTTTCAGATTTGAGATGGGCTTTAAGCGAGGAATCCCTAAGGTGGGCGATGTGTCTGCGAGCTTACGCCAAGGTCAAGGGGTCCCGGATCCGGTTCGGTGGCTTTGTTTTTTAGGCGCCTCAAAATAATGTCAGTTAGGACGGACGGGATTCTTAGGCTCTGCGTTTATTAACCTCTGCGTTTTTTGCTGGAGGGGGATATTCTTTTGTTAGGTGAGTTCGTTTGAAGGGTCATCGAAACTATGGGTCACTTCACGGTACGAGCTGCTGTGGAAACTGGTGGAGTGGAACGAGTACTTATTTTGCTCGTTCACATCGCAGCTGTAGCTGCTGCTGAAGAGGTTCTTGACTTTCTCCCAACCCCCCGACCCGACCCTATTATTCCCTTCACCTCTTCAGGAGGAGGACGAGCTGCTGCGGAAACTGGTGGAGAAGGACGGAGCCCAGCGGTGGTCCGCCATTGCGGCGCACCTCAAGGGGCGCGCGGGGAAGCAGTGCCGCGAGCGGTGGCACAACCACCTGAAGCACGGCATCAAGAAGGTGAGGCGGAGAGAAAGCGAATCTTAAGTCAATATAAGGTGGTTGAGAGTAACGGAAATGGTTCATACTCGCGGGGAGGCAATGCCGGGAGCGGTGGCACGACCACCTGAAGCATGGTATCAAGAATGTGAGATGGAGAGAAAGCGAAGCTTAGGTCAATACAAGGTGGTTGAGAGTATCGATAATGTTCATACCGGCATCAAGAAGGTGAAATGGAGCGAATCAAGATACTGAGACATAGAGAGGTGCATTTTTAGGTCAAAACACGGTGGTTGTGCGTATTGAAATATCTCTTTCTTGTGGGGAGGCAGTGCTGCGCACGGTGGCACAACCACATCAAGCACGGCATCAAGAAGGCGAGACGGAGATCAAGAAATCTGAACTTGTTGAGGCTCATATAAGAAGAAGTTGGTTGCTGAGTTCGAGAATTCCAACACCCACCTCTCTTTCTCGCACCCCTTCTCCTCATTCCTTCCCCCCTTCCCCCCTTCCTCCCTCCCCTCCTTCCATCCCTTCCCCTCCCCGTCCCCGCTGCCTGATTTCTCGCCTCTGACAGGACGCGTGGACGGAGGAGGTGAAGCTGGTGGAGGCACACAGGAAGCTGGGAAACCGTATTTGAGCCACTGTACCCACCACCCCCTTCCGCTTCCCTCACTCCCCTTTCCCCCCCACCAACCTCCCTCCCCCTGTGTTTGTCCTCCACGGTTTTCTTCCCACAGGACGCGTGGACGGAGGAGGAGGAGGCGAAGCTGGTGGAGGCGCACAGGAAGCTGGGGAACCGGTGGGCGGAAATTGCCAAGCTGCTGCCGGGGCGGACGGACAACAGCGTGAAGAACCACTGGAACTCCACCATCCGCCGCAAGGTGAGTTGACAGAGGTGATTGGAGGGAGTGGTTGGAAACGGGAAAGATGGACGGGGGTAGAGGTAAAGAGGGCAAGCAAGGGGGCACAGACAACAGCGTGAAGAACCACTGGAACTCCACCATCCGCCGCAAGGTAAGGTTGTTGGGGGAATTGGGGGATGGTGGACAGCGGTTGGAAGAGGTAAGGAGGGGTGGGGGAGAGGTATGAGCGTAAGCAAGGGTGGACAGACAAGAGCGTGAAGAACCACTGAAGCCCCACCATCCGCCGCAAGGTAAGCTGGTTGGGGGGCGATTGAGAGAGTGATGGGCAGAGGTTGGTAAGGGAAGGGGAGGGGAGGCGAAGGGGGTAACGAAGGCAAGCAAAGGCGGACAGACAACAGCATGAAGAACGACTGGAACTCCACCATCTGCCGCAACAATGGGTTGGCAGGGGCACTGGGAGGAGTGGTTTACAGGAAGGTGGGACGATGGGGAGAGAGAACAAGAGGTGTTGAGGCGCACAGACAACAGTGTGAAGAACCACTGGAGCTCCACCATCCGCTGCAAGGTGCGTACAGAGGGGGATTGAGGGGACTGGTGGAGAGTGGTTAGTAAAGGGAAGGAAAGGGGGAAGAGAGAGGTTAAAAGAGGGCATTCAAGGGCGGAGAGACAACAGCGTGAAGATGTGAAGTGGTAGTGGGGTTGCGCGGTAGTGTGGGGGAGCGGGAGATTAGAAAGCGCAACAGCAACACATCCCGTCACTCAAGACCTCCCTTTCTCCCACCACCTTCTCCTTCCACCTCACCACCCCACTCCACCGCATTGCACCGCCCCACATCAGGAGGAATCGTCTCGCAGCAAGGCAGTGCAGCGCCCCACACTGCTCCTGAGGTACATCCAGTCGCTCAAGACCCAGGGGGGGCTGGGGGGCGCAGGAGGCAGCTCTGGCGCGGGGGGCAGTATAGGCGGAGGCGGAGGTGGTATGGGGGGATTTGGGGGGAGCAGCTTCTCCAGCGGAGGCCTTGGCGGATTCAGCACGGGGATGGGCATGGGGGGAGGCATGGGCGGAGGCATGGGCGGAAGCATGGGCGGAGGCATGCGGGGGCCCATGGGCATGGACATGGGAATGAGCATGGGCATGGGCATGGGCGCAGGGGCAGGGGGAGGAGGGGGGATGGGGATCAGCCTGGGGGAGCTGATGCAGGGGCTCGTGAAGGGGGAACCCGCGTCCCCCTCCGCCTCTGCAGGCCTGGGTGGGTTAGCCTTCCGCGTGGGTCAAGGAGCGCCTTTTAGAACCGCCGTGCCCCGCTCTGTCTCCCAGCCAAACAGCCACGCAGCATCAGCAGGAGGGGGAGGGGGGGGGGGGGGGAGGGGGGAGGGGGAGGAGGAGGCGGAGCAGCAGTCTTCCCTGGGGCATTCAGCTCAGCGCAAAGCGCAGCAGGAGCAGGCAGAGCAGCAGGGGCAGCAGGAGGAGCAGCAGCGGGAGCAGGGGCGGCAGCAGCTTTCCCCCGCAACCCCTCATGGCCGCCCGCAGGAAGCTCTGTTTCTGATGGGGGGAGCTCCGGCGGTGAGGGAGAGGGGCACGAGCAGAAAGCAGGGGTGCGGCAGTTGGGAGGAGGCGGCCTCACCACTGGTGCAGCAGCAGGGGGGATGGGGGGGATGAGGGCAGGGGGAATGGGGTCCGAGGGAATGGGCGCAGGGGGGATGGGGCCAGGGGGAATGGGGGCGGCTGGGTTCATGCGCTCATCCTCTCTTTCCAGGGCAGAGTCCCGGGCGCGCCAGCACAGCCGTGGATCGTTTCTCGGCACGCGATCCGGGCTGTTGGATGCGGCCCGGGGCGGCGATCGACGGTCGGAGTTGGACCGGGCAGCAGCAGAGTTCCAGAAGGAGATCGCCAGGGCGTTGCTGGCGCCTGGTATGGGGCGGGCCTTATCCATGCCTCTAGGGTATGCCAACACGGCAAATGCCCAAGCCGCCGCTGCCGCCAATGCTGCTGCTGCTGCTGCCAATTCTGCTGCTAATGCTGGGACTTGTGGTGCTGCTGCTGGAGCCAGTGGTGGTGCTGGTGCTGCTCCTCCTGGTCTGTCTCTCTCCTTCCCCACTCCCGCCAACCCCGCCCAGTCCTCCTCCTCTGCAGGCTCCCCCTCCAGTCACCCCTTTTATTCCCGCTCGCGCTTTGCTAAAAGTTCGTCCGTGCCGGGGAGAGTTTCCGCCTCTGGGTCAGAGGATGGGGGCCGGGGGGGATGGGGTCGGAGGGGAGGGGACATGGGCGCAGCAGGGGGAGTAGGGGGAGCAGGGGGAGCGGGGAGAGCAGGGGGAGCAGGGGGGGCAGCAGGGGGGACAGCAGAGGGGGCGGGAGCAGGTGGGGGAGCAGCAGGATCTGAGGTGATGGCGCTGCTGCAACTGGTTCTAGATCCATCTCTTGCTGCTACCGTTGCTGCTGCTGCTGGCCCCGTGGGGGGTGAAGGAAGAGGAGGAGGAGGTGCAGGAGGAGCAGGAGGGGGAGCAGGAGGGGGAAGAGGGGGAGGAGCGGGCGGAGGAGGAGAAGGAGGAGGGGGAGGGGTTACGTCTGCGTTGGATCAGGTTGCGAGTGTTCTGACTGCCGACCAGCTCGCCCTGCTGCTCAAGGTGAGTGAGGCGTATGAGATGGGCGACTGGGGCGCATAGGGTGGGTGAATGGGGCACATGGAGGAGGGGGAGGAGGGGGAGGGGGAAGTATGTCTGCGTTGGATCAGGTTGCGAGTGTGCTGACTGCCGACCAGCTCGCCCTGCTGCTCAAGGTGAGTGAGGCCGTGGGGGGGCCTGGTTGAGTGGGGTGCATGGGATGGCCGAATGAGGCACCGGGATGGAGGAATAGGGCACAGGGGTTTGGCGATTGGGCACAGGGGATGGGCGATTGGGCACAGGGGATGGGTGAATGGGCCACATTGTATGGACGAATGGGGCACATGGATGTGGGAATGGGACACAGGGACGGGTGAATGGGACACAGGGGATGAGGGAATGGGGAGCCGGAAAGGGGGGAATGGGGGCATGTGATGGCCCATCATACTGAGCACTGAGCAGTAGCTGAGGTGCTCAGGACTCAGCACTCAGCACTCAGCAGCAGCCTCGATGCAATTTGCACATTTAATCTCTGTTCTTCATCCTTCATGAAGCAAGTTGCAAGAATGAGAGCTGGATTTGGGATCCACTCAAAGTCACCCTGTGTGTGTGCGCGCATCTAGTTACAATTGTATCACCTTGAAAAAAAACTCTAAGGGAGCGTAGAATCCCCAGAAGACGCAGATGCTGCTTTTTGAAGCCAACCGATCTCGACAATTTCCCTTTTCATACACTCCTGTGCCATGTGCCTGACTGCTTGGTGTGTGTTGCGCTGTTGTGGTCTGTTGCAGGTCCTTCAAGGAGACGTTCAAAGCCCTGGCAGCGCACAATCGATGCAGCAGCAAGTGCAGCAGCAACACCAACAGCAGCAACAGCAGCAGCAGCAAGTGCAGCAGCAGCACCAACAGCAGCAACACCAGCAGCAGCACCAGCAGCAGCACCAGCAGCAGCACCAGCAGCAGCAGCAGCAGCAGCAGCAACAGCTACAGCGGATGCAGCAAGCGCTGGACCTACAGCTTCAAATCCTCAACATGCAGTCACAAGCCATGCAATCCCAGCCAATGGATGCATCTACTCATACTGCCGACCCCAACACTGCTGCTGGTGCTCCTTCTTTCAACACCAGCGCCTCTGCTGCTCCTGCTTCTGCTGCTGGTGCTCCTTCTCTCAACACCAACGCCACCGCTGCTACCGCTGCTGCCAATAACGCGGATGCTTCTGCTGCAGCTGCCTTCGCCCTGGATGGCAAGCTACCGGACCTGTCAATCGATCCAGGGCCATTAGACTGGGCGGATGGGGACGGGATAGACGTGTTTGCACTGGAAGAGGGCGAGGAGCAGGCGCTCGTGCTGGCAGGCACTGCTGGCGCTGCTGGGAATGCTGGAGCTGTAGGGGTTGGTGGGGCTGCTGCGGGTGGTGGGTTTGCTGGTTTGGCAGCAACGGTGGAGGCACAGGGGATGCAGCAGGCAGGAGGGTTTTCAGCTCCCACTTCAGCAGCACAAGGCACAGCAGGCCTTTTTACAGCACCAATGACTGCTACCACCACTACTGTTTCTCCTTCCGCTCCCACTGCTCCTCCTGCTTTTGCTGCCCCTTCTGCCCACCCCACTGGCACCGGCTTTTCTTTCCCTACTGTCAGCCCCAAAGCCAGCCCAACATCTGCCCCCACCCCCGCTGCCCCCACAGCCGCCCCTGCAGCTGCTTTCGCAGCTTCCCCTGGCCTTTCCCTCCTTGCCCCATTCCCCTCCCCGTCCGCCCCTTGGGGATCTGGCTGGGACCACGCCCCCTCTCCCGGCAAATCCAAGCCGTTGATCGAGGAGCTCCGGTTCCGTCCACGGCTGGGATTCTCCGAGGAGATCGGCGCGGGGCGATTCAGAGAAGCACATCAGGACGAAGGGGGGGATGGAGATGAGGACCTGGAAAGCCCCAGCTCCCCGTCCTGGTTCCCGGACTTGCGCCGAACCTGCAGCGACAACCCCCGATCCGCATTCCCAGCCTTGGGAGCCTCGTCCCCGGACCACCACGGAACCCGAGGGGAGCGTCTCTTCATACCCCAGAAAAGCGGGCTGGGCGGGGGGAAAAGCGCCGCTGCGTCTCTCACCCTTCCCCCTCTCATGTCCAAGAAACGATCTATCTCCAGTGTCGGCCCTACCAGCCCCCGCTCCCAGTCTCGCTCCCTCCGGCCGTCCCTCCGTCGCAGTGTAGCAGGGCCGTTACCAGACGCACCGGTTACCATCATTGATGGTACCATTCAGCTCGTGGGAGGGCTGAGCCTTAACTCCAGTAAAGCGGACGGGAGAAGTGGCGGCAGGGGGGATGGGAAAGCGGATTCCCCGCCTCCTCCCTCGCCCCTGCCGCCTCCCCGGCCGCCCCGGCCACAGGCCTTCCTAGGGGGAGGCAGCGAGAAAGGGGGAGGAGGAGGAGGAGGGGAGCAGCAGCAGGTGGCAGCAGCAGGAGGGGGAGCAGGAGGAGCAGGAGGGGCAGGAGCAGGGCTGTGGGGTAGCTTCAGTAGCAAGCAGAGCCGGGCTTTCCTGCAGGCGAACCAGCTGAACCTGTCCCCACGTTCAGGGGGACCTGGGGGAGGTGGGACCCTCTCGTTTGGACAGGACGGTGGGTTTGAGGGGGAGGTAGATCTGGTGAAGGCTGGTGGCTGGGGGAATGCAGGAGGGGAAGGGGGAACAGGTGGAGCGATTGGGGCAGGAATGGGCGGAGAAGATGGGGCATTGGGCGTATCTGGGCAGGCTGTACCTGCGTGCCAGCCGTTCAGAATGAACCTGGCGAATTCAAGGTTCAACCGCAGCCGGAGCATGCCCATGGAGCGACCCCCTCCCAGGAGTGGTAACAGTGCGGTGGGGACTGGTGGGCATGGCGTGGGCAGGAGTAGTGGCTTGGGTGGGGCCAGTGGTGCTGGTGGTGGGGCTGCTGCTGGTGGTGGTGGGTTTGGTGGCCATGCAGGGGGGATGGTGGCTAGCCGATTTGCTTCCCAGGGCAATGCTGGCCCGTCCGGCAGTGGTAGCAGTGTGGGTGGTGCTACTGCTGCTGCCCTGCGTGCTGGTACGGACGCATCTATGGGTGGGGTCACGGGAGGTGGCATTGCAGCAGCAGGAGGAGGAGCAGCAGGAGCAGCAGGGGCGGCAGCGGGCACAGCAGGCAGTGGGTCAGGGGCAGGGGAGCTGCTCGATTCCAATGTGGCAGATCTGGTGGCAGCATGGCTGTCAGAAGAGAGTCCTAATGGTGTGGACGGGGGTGGTGCAGCAGGAACACAGGAAGGGAGTGTGGGAGGGGCGCAGGGGATGGCAGGGGTGGTGGGTGCGGGTGCGATTGGGGGCGAGCTGGTGCAAGGGGGGGAGAATTCGCGGCCGAGTTTGGCGCAGCTGCAGCAAGCGATAGGGGAGCAGCTCAAGGTGAGCGACCGGAGTAGGCCCTGCCCATTTTTTTGGGTTTGCACCGGAATGTTCTATCCATCTCTTTATCTCATAATTTAACATGTCTCCCACTTCCATGTTTATTATGCCTAAATCATGGCAGGGATCTGGGCCAGAGTCTCTGTTCCCCTCACCTGGGATTTTCCCTGACTCATCTGGGCATCACTTTGGTCGAAGTGTTTCATGTTTCTCCACCATTGATGGGCCAAGTTCAGCTTCTAAGGGTTCTGATGCCGCAGCCATAGCTGCAGTTCTTGCTTCAGCAGGCCTGGATGGTTTAGATGGGTCGCCCGGCTTGCTCCAGCGGCTTGTGGATTTTACATCTGGTGGGCACAATAACCAGCAGTAGTTATAACTCAAATTATATATGGATTTAGGCAAGGCATACATGGACTAGAATTGTTTCTTGATCCAAGCAAAAGGGATAAATCTTTAGGTTGTCAGAAACTTATTGTACAAGGGTGCTCTTTTTCGTGTATTGATTCACCAATCGAGTCTACGGTATCTTTTCATTTGCCGAATCCAGCGCTGCGCGAGAGTTGGAGGGACAAGGGTGCAGTAGCAGGTGGACTCAGGTTGAAGGGAGCACAGCAAGGCAGCCAGCGGACACGGGTTGCGGTCTCTTTCTTTTGCTTTCTCATTCGAAATTTTCGTTCCGTCTCATCAGTCCGAGAGGTGGTCACTAGACAGAAGGCGTGGTTACCTCACTCAAGGAGCCATGAGTGCCGCTGACATCCTAAGTCGGGTTGATGTTATCAGACGGCGTTATGAGCCGTACACGAAGGAGACTGTTACGAAAGAAGATCCGACGGACAGCTTCATGACTTTGTTTGCAGCGGTTACAGTAGAGGTGGAGGAGGTGATCGAGGTAAGCGATAAATTCTGGTAGATTCAAGTTTTCTCTTTTGTTTAGATTGGACGCTTATCGCATATGCGCCGTCGCAGAAATCAAATGCAGCTGTTATTGAGAGGAATCTGGCCAAGGTTGCGGTGCTGAATGCCGAGATCAGGCGAGCTAAAGACATTTTGCAGAAGGAAATTCAACGGCTTGAGAAGCTCGCGTATCGGAAGGTATTCAACTACCTGGATTAGAATAAAAGCATTAGTGTGACATGTTTCTAAAGTGATTCGGACTTCAGGTTGAAGGAGTTTCGCCTGACGAGGCTGCGAAGAGGCCAGACATGGTCAGAACGCTCATGGAAAAGGTTCAGGCGATTCCTGATGGCATTGCGAGAGGAGGTGGGAGGACCGTCGCATCTACACGGGGCGTTTCAGACGTCCAGATTGACGCTCTCGAAATGGGTAAGTCATTGACATGCGCTGGTTATTAAGATGTCTGGCTTAACAAGGGACGGTCCTTCAGGCGACTCTGGACCAACAGGGGATCACTTCATCTCAACGGCTGAATCCAGGGCGTTCAGAAGTGAATATACTCGCCGAGTCCAGAAGCAGGTATTTGTGGTCTTCTGTGTGTCAACACGATTAAAGCTCACGCCACTTTGTTTGCAAGATGCACCGATCTTGCCTCCGCTGTCAAATACATCATGATCTCTGTTTGCAGGATGTCGAGCTGGAGGACATCTCTAGTGGTCTTGAGAAACTGAGGCATCTTGCCCAAGACATGAATGAGGTACTTTGTTTTCCAGCGACGCATTTTGTTGTTTAACAGCACATAATGTATTCGCTTGTTTTCAGGAAATGGATCGTCAAGATCCAATGTTGGAAGCAGTTGAGAACAAGGTAAGTTGCTGGCAATGCAATTCTTCTATTGGGGCTGAACTGCTCAACTCAAATCATTTTTGTTTCTTAGGTCAACTCAACAACTCAAACGCTGCGGAACAATAATAAGAGATTGAAGGAGATTCTGACCGAGGTGAGGACAAAGACGTGGACACATTTTCCCACTTGGTTTTCTCTAACACTTACTTCGCTGGAATAGGTTCGGTCACCACGGAAGTTCTGCATTGACCTTATACTTATCCTTGTGCTTCTTGGAATTGGAGCATACCTCTATAGGTACTTCTACTGTGCCCGTACTCAGCAATGTCTTTTGTGGCTCTCAGTTCACTCACCAGGATCTGTTGCATTTGGCAGTGCTCTGAAGTGATGCATGTTGGGAACAAACAATCTTAAGCGCCTCTGTCATGTCGAAACACCAAGGCACAAGCGAAGCAGAGCATATCGAGGCACCAGCGAGTCAACCCTCGGAGGTTGAAGTAACCGCTGGAGGTTACGCGAAAGTCAAAGGTCAGCGACCTTTGACTTGACAAATGCAGCGCAACAGCAAGGACACACAACTGACTCGACATTGAGCAGTTGCCCGAGTCACACTGTATCGAACCGCAACAGCAAAACAGTTTAATTATATCTCTTCGTATTCCCTGTACTCTTATATAAACCTTTGTTGTTTTAATCAACTTACTTTGCCCTCACATACCAGCGCAAGGTGGTTCAAGGACTTCATTTAAACGCTTCCGCTACTGCATCTCTCTACTCAGAGTTTAACCCTACCAAAGATCCTAAGGGGCACTCAGCCCAACATGGTATGAGAGCTGGTTAGGGTTAAAATTATTTCTCCTTAACACCTAATACACCAAGAGACATGTCTACCAGAAAGGAGAGGATCTCCTCCAACGGCTCTCCTGATACTACTCCTACTCCACCTCCTGCCTCTGGCCTACAGACAGAGGAAGGCAAAACGTGACCAGCAACTGGGTCTACTGAAACACCCGCAAACCAAGGCGCAGGCTTCGATCCAAGCATGATGGAGAAGTTCTTCTCCTTCATGTCCTTCTACGAGGAGCATCAGCAAGGAGCACCTGCGCAATCAAACAACAGCAACAACAACAACAACGTGACGCCCATGAGTCTCGATGGCTCATCCTACGCACGCGGGAATCAACAACAGCAACCTACCTTCGCTCCGTACGAGCCCCAGCGCGGCTCCGTCAGCTTCATGCCACAACCACAACCTGCACCGGGACAAGAGAGAACGCTGGACGCACTACAAGTTCAGTCGCAGTTCGCGCACGTTCTAAAACTGCAAACGACAAAACCCTTCGACGGGAAGGATTTCTTTACCTGGTCGTTCGAATTCGAGCTGATGATGGAAGGAGCGCAAATCCTTGGCTTCTTCGACGGGTCCCTGTCATACCCAGCAAACGGCACACAGTATGAGAAGCAGCAGCACACCTATCAATCGATGATGGCGTACACGATACTACTGAGGAACATCACTCCAACTCAACAACAAAACATACGGTCTTACCGAGGCTACGGCAACTCCGCGGAGCTCGCGTACAATCACTTGAAGAGCCAGTATCAAGCAACAGACAGCGTAAACCAAAGCCGGTTAATGGCGCAGCTGACAACAATCGAAATGAAACCAGGCGAGAAGGGAATGGCGTATATCAGTCGCTGCCGCGAGCTGCGTGACAAGCTTCTTCGATGTGGAGGATCGATTTCAGAGGACGCCTTCGTCACGGTTGTCATCGGCGGTCTTGGTCCTCACTGGCGCTCCACTCGCGCAATACTACGAGCCCACGGGAAAATTTCTGAAGCAGCACTTTGCGCCGAAATCCACACCGAGCAGCAAGATATGGACATGCAAGAAGAACGACACAATAGAAAGGTATCAGTGCCCGAATTCGCGTTTCACACTCAACGGCGCCACAACAACAACAACAATCGATCGAAAATTGTACCTCCGTTCTGCCACCTCTGCAAGACTTCAAGGCATCCTCGTACGCACTGCCCGAATCGACAACAGTCAACATCGCCGCAATGCCAACTTCGCCCTTCAAGCAGTCAAGTTGCCTCAACGCAAGCAAATCCGACAACTTCAGTACAAGTCTCAACAACATCGACGGGACAACCTGCGAAAGGAACAAGAAACATCGTCAGCTGCATGGTAAGGCTGAGTGACTCCTGAGTAACTAAGTCACCACCATATTACTCGCCAGAAGAACAACTCGACAACAGCACGCCTCGCCGCGAGTCACTTCAACCAAACCCGACGTACGCCGCCATCGCTCAAAGCGAGCCGTCCGGGAAGGATACATGGTTCTTGGACAGTTGCTGCGGACATCATATGTGCTCTTCAGGACGTTTTGTTCAACACGAGCACCAACTGCAACGAGAAGTCGTCATCACTGTCGCCAATAATCAGAACCTGCGCACACGACGATAAGGAGTAGTGCAACTTCAGTCACGAGAGACGAATGTCATACTACAAATGTCCAAAGTCCTAATAGCAGAAGGACTTGGCTACAACTTACTGAGCGTCAGTCAGTTGATGGCGAAAGGCATACATCTGGAAGCCGACAGTACCACCAAGGAGTTCAAGCTGTACCACGGGAAGGGCGGCCTCTACATAGGAAAGGCGGTCCTGAAGAACAATGTCTTTGTTCTCGATTTCGTCCCAGACCTAGGCACCGCAGATAGTGACGGGATCGTCACCTTCACATCTTGGACGCACCCGCCGGATCTCGACCCCGACTTCAATCCGGAAGTCTTTTGGTATTCACATACCCTTCCTGAAGCAGAACGAATACGTGCGTTAGTAACAATACAACATTCGGCAGCAGCAGAGACAACATCGGCAGCAGTAGAGACAACATCGGCAGCAGCAGAGACAACATCGACAGCAGCAGAGACAACATCGGCAGCAGTAGAGACAACATCGGTAGCAGCAGAGACATCATTGGCAGTAGCACGAACAACAACAGTAGCAGCAACAACGACACCAGTCCTCGTTGACGAAGCACCACCAACACCCGCACAGCAGCTGAATCCGGCTCAACGGGAAGTCCATAGAAACGCAAACTTCACCGCCAGCTTCTACTCCAACTCCAACGCGTATCGACGCTCACCCGGACACCGCGCCTCCGAAGACATCTGGCACGCACGCATGGGACACCTAAGCAACACTGTGTTAAACAACACAATAAGAGCACGAGTCCTTGATAAGGACTCGTTACTACTACTCGACGACAGAGAACTTCAACGGGCACGAGGAACATGTCTTACCTGCCCCGAAGCCGACTTACCACATCGGCCGTTCACTCCTCATCACAACCCGAGCGCACCCGCGTACGCACCACTCAAAAAGGTGTATAGCGACATCCTGTACAATCGGGAACCAGGACAAGTAATATACAACTACACAATCACCTTCATCGACGCCGCCACCCGTTACGTCTGGCATCTAAACCTACCCAGCCGCGACATGGTCCTCGAAGCATTCGCTGCTTGGCTACCAGTAGCGAAAAGAGAGTCGGGCGTAAAGCTGAAAAGCTTCCAGTTTGACGGAGGAGGAGAATACACCTCTCAGCGTTTCAAGTAGTACCTGGCGGAAAGGGGAATTAAGCAGCTCCTCTCTCTTCCCTACGCCCATCAGCAGCAAGGTGTAGCAGAAAGAATGAACAGGACTCTGCAGAACAGCATGCGCAAACTGTTACGTGGCATGCGGCTACCCAACCACCAGTGGCCTGACGCGATGGACCACGCTGTCATGCTGCACAACTTACTCTCATCTTCATCACTACCGAACAACTAATCACCGCATCTGCTGTGGACAGGAAAACAGGGCAGCACAAAAATGTTACGAGTTTTCGGATGCATGGTACAGTACTGACCCCCAGCAGCACGAGCGGGCCGATTTTCTCAACGCGCACAGTGGGGACTGTCACAATGTTATTCTCTAGCTTGTAGTGGGGTGCTCTATAGCGAGTACAACCCATCTGGGGTTTGCTATATATATCCTCATTGCTGCTAGTGAAACCCCCCCCTTCTTCATTCTCGTTTCAATTTCACATGTTATCAGAGTGGTTCCGATCCTAGGACCCAACTGCTTCCGCTACTACTCTGTGCTCGGCACGCCCCGCCCCGTGGCCCTTCTCTTAGCGGCCCCGTTGCCGCCCTTCCTAGCCCCTCGCGGCCCCTTCGCGGCCCCGTCGCCGCCCCTTTCGCGGCCCGTCGCCGCCCTTCCGCGGCCCCGTCGCCGCCCTTTCAGTGGCCCCGACGCCGCCCTTCCGCGGCCCCGTCGCCGCCCTTCCAGCGGCCCCGTCGCCGCCCTTCCGCGGCCCCGTCGCCGCCCTTTCAGCGGCCCCGACGTCACCCTTTCCGCGGCCCCGTTGCCGCCCCTAACAGCGGCCCCGTCGCCGCCCTTCAGCGGCCCCGTCGCCGCCCTTCCACGGCCCCGTCGCGGCCCTTTCAGCGGCCCCGTCGCCGCCCTTCCGCAGCCTCGATGCCGCCCTTTTCGCGGCCTCGTCGTCGCCCCTTACAGCGGCCCCGTCGCCGCCCTTCAGCGGCCCCGTTGCTGCCCTTCCGCGGCCCTGTCGCCGCCCCTTCAGCGGCCCCGTTGCCGCCACCCCTTCAGCGGCCCCGTCGCCGCCCTTCAGCGGCCCCGTGGCCGCCCTTCAGCGGCCCCGTCGCCGCCCTTCCTCGGCCCCGTCTCTGCCTACAGCGGCCTCGGCCCCGCCCCGGCCATGCCCCGCCGCCAGCCGCGGCGCACCGGGGGCACGTGCACCGCCCCCCCCTTTTCCCGTCGCCCGTCGCGGCTCCTTCGGGGGCCGGGGGGGCGAGCGTCGCCCCTTCTGCCACCTGCTTTGGCGCCCTGGGAGACCGCTCGTCAGCCCCCCCCCCCCCCCCCCCCCCCCCCCCTCCCTACCCGCCATCCCGCCCTGCCCTGTGTTAGGGTTTGGGGGTGGCAAGAAGGGGGTGACGGGTGTGTGGTCTCCCCTGCTCCTCCTCCTCCTTTGTCTCCCACTGCTGCAGCTGTCGCTGAGGGGGGTGGATGTGTGGGAGCCTAGGGTTTAGGGTTTAAGGGGGGTACTGTGGGAGTGGAGCTAGGGTTTTGAGGGAGGTGGATGTGTGGGCGTCTGGGGTTTAGGGTTTACGAGGGTGCTGTGGGTGTAGGGTTAGGGTTTGAGCAGGGGGTGTGTGAGAGGGCCGTTGGGCAGCAGGGGGAGGTTGAGTGGAGGCACCAGTCTTGTCGTCAGCAGCACCAGCAGTCC